TGGAAGAAAATACAGATCCCAGCCTTTGCAAATGAGACCTGTCCAGATTTCTGAGGGGAGTCCAATCTTTGAACTGAGATGATGTGTCCAGAAGGAAACCCACTAGGATGGGCACTGGACACATCCAGCTGGTAGCAAGTTACACGTGTCAAAGGTGAGAAGCTGAGTCTGTTCCTTCCTGGGAACAAGGCTGTCCGACTAGTGTTCAGGGTTATGCACATGTGTGTGTTGGGTGGAGGCAGAGCTGTGTCTATAGCCATAGATGAACCCAGTTTTTTCCCTTGGTATCCAGTTTTGTGGGAAAAGGACAGAACTGGCCCTGATATAATTGCGGCCCTGTCCTGATGTACAGTGGTCCCCAGTGTCCTTGACATACCTCTTCTACACCTTAAAAGCATCCATCAGCTCTTAGTTTATGACATTACATCACTTCCTTCTGAAATGCCTATCCGGAATTCTCTTTAACTGTGTTCCTGGCAGACGCAGGGAGTAAGGCAGACTGATTCTGCCTCTACCACACATGAAACAAAGAAGGAAATCCTGCACTATCTCTAAGAGACAGGCAGTTGCTGTAGAGCATGAGGCTGCAGTGTCATTTTTTCAATTGTTTCCTGGGTCAGTCAGGAAAAATTGGTAAGGATGCCACACTTAGCATTTGAAAAGGAGCTGAAAGGTTTTGATGCAACAGAGTAGATTCTGGATCAAGATTTGTGTAGAAGACAGAATGAGAGACATAACCATGGCATTGCCAGTCAGAGGATGCCACAAAATAATATCTTCTGAGCAGTGCTGGTAGCTGTTGTGTGGATATAGTTGTGAATATTTGTGATCTGTGTGTGGCAAGGAGGTGACAATTAGATTGGTGCTCTTGTGTACACTTGATTATCTGAATTTCCTCATGTCTTTCAGGATTCCTTGCTATGTTGACTTGGGCTGTGGGTGTTGTTTAACAGTCATGGATATTGGATGCATGTCACATTGAGCCCCCAAATGAAGGGTACTCAGAAGAGATCAAACCAACTCTTCAAAAACTAGCGGACCTCCAACAATATACTCTGTTATTTACTTAGCAGACAGCTGGGGATACCTATAAATATGTGGATCTGTCCCAGTGGGTGCTGGTGCTAACATTAGAAACCCCAGGGTACACTTGGCCTTGGCCACAGGCATGTGATTATGTCTTGCTGCACTAAACTTTTCCATGTTTCATGTGATGTGTTTTTACTGACCACCTCATTGGGATCTACAGGACGGGGGATTCCCTCCACTCTATCATCCAATGCAGGAACTCCCAATCCGGGGGGGGGAGGGGATGGCTGTGAGATCACACTGCTCATCAGACTTCTTCCACTACTTATGTGAGGAAGAATGCATAGGCACAACTAGGTCATACAAGTACATAAGATGCTTCTGACTATTCATTTTGGGAGACGCCCATGGGTACCCTATCCAAGCTCAATGCTTGTTTTGGGAGACCGACACTCCTGAAGACAAGAGCTAGGGTGGGGGTTTTGGGCATTGTGTATTATTGCAGATGTCATGCCCATGTCATTTCCGCAGAGGAAATGATTGTGTTCATTTTTTAAAGATTTACTTATTGGGGCCGGAGCTGTGGCACAGCGGGTTAAAGCCCCAGCCCGCAGCGCTGGCATCCCATATGGATGCTGGTTCAAGTCCCAGCTGTTCCCTTTCCAATCCAGCTTTCTGCTATAGCCTGGAAAAGCAGTGGAAGATGGCCCAAGTCCTTGGGCCCCTGTACCCATGTGGGAGACTCAGAAGAAGCTCCTGGCTCCTGGCTTTGTATGAGCTCAGCTCTGGCCATTGCGGTCATTTGGGGAGTGAACCAACGAAATGGAAAATCTCTCTCTCTCTCTCTCTCTCTCTCTCTGGCTCTACCTCTCTCTCTGTAACTATTTCATATAAATAAAAGAGAAATCTAAAAAAAGATTTATTTATTTTATCTGAAAGGCAGAATTGCAGAGAGGCAGAGGGAGAGGCAGATGGAGAGAGAGAAAGAGAGAGAGAGAGAGAGAGAATCTTCCATCCACTGGTTTATTCCCAAAATTGCCCCAAAGGCAGGAGCTGGGCCTATGCAAAGCCAGGAGCCAGGAGCTTCATCATCCAGGCCTCCCACATGTGTGCAGAGGCTCAAGCACTTGAATCATCCTCCTTTGCTTTTCCAGACATGTTATCAGGGAGCTAGGTTGGAAGTGGAGATGCTGGGACTTGAATTGGTGCCCATATGGGATGCTGGTGCTGCAGGCATTGGCTTTAACCAGTATGCCCCAGCTCTGGCCCCGTGATCATGTTCTTTGTCCACACAGAAGTGGAGCCATAAAGTCAGGGACTTCTACCATGAGAAAAAAGCCTATTGGTGCCACAGCTAACTGGAGTAAAGACCACATTGAAGTCAAGACCCAAGTCAGCAGGATTGGAGAGACAGTGACCAATTAACAAGCTTCATCCCATAGGGAGGTGCTGAGCAGGGAAGATTCCACTCTGAGATGTGTGAAATGGGAAGCACACAGTGAGTTGAGAATTGTAAGGAGGGAGAGCCATAGCTGAAGGGAGGGAAGAGGTAGCAGTGGACATGGACAAGTCTCATCTGGACTTAGGTGCAATGGACGTGAGATTACCCCCTGCAAGTCCTGCCTTGTCTGTGACAGGCTCAATGACGCTTAGGTTCCCTGCTCTTTCATGCCTGTCCTTCCCTGTTTTGTTTTCTCACACCTGAGCTGCAGCAGCTTAGGGAAGAATCAATTTCCTTTATGCTTTAACACAGCAAATCCAGAATCTATTTGTCTTCACAGGGCAGATCCAGTTGTGGTGCACTTTAAACATTTTGCCTGGGAATATGTCAGTTCCTAGTCTCTGCCATAATTTTGAAGACAAGGTCCTTCATCAACTCACCTTCACTGGGGCACCACACAAGATAACCTCATTCGGAGAAGAACCCTAGGAGCAGGAATTAGAGGGCTGGCTTAGCAATGTGATTTGCACAGGTAGGAAAGAAAGGGTAAGAAGGGAGCTGCCTCCCAGATTCTGGGGTTGAAGTGCTCTGAGCTGGTGTTTGCACATGTGCTGATGTTGGATGTTTGTCAGCTCAGGAGAAAGGAATAAGACCCTGACCATGAGCAGGGCTTGTAAAATACAGCCCTAGGCCTGATTTTGGCCTTTTGCTTATTTTACTCTAAACAGCTTTGAGACATAACTCACACAACACGTCATTCTTCAGTTCAGAGTGTACAATGTGCTTTTCACATAGCCAAGGCATTATGTAATCTTCTTCCACAGTCTAATTTCACAGCATTTTGATCCTCCCTAAAACACCCCAGTACAGTTGGTTGTCTTTCTCTGTCCCTGCTGCTGGTGTGGAAGTAAGTTCCACGGTGTAAGAATTGTGCAACATCTGTTTTTGGTGACTGCTTTCATTTCACCGTGTCCATGTTATATTGTTACCATACAAACTACTTGACCTCTCCCATGACCCATATCAGCATGATAGCCTCCATGTATTATGCCTGTCTCCAGAGTAAAAGAGAGAGTAATTACTTTATGTAGCCACATGTTCTCATATCCTTTTCTTTGTCGTGTTTTCAGTTTATATAGAAGTTTTGAAATAAGTCATTTTCATGAGTTTCAGACTCAGTGATGTGTATGGTATCCCCTACTGGCAGAACTGAAAAAAACAGGTCTTTTACCCCCTCTTTTAAAAATTTTTTTTTTAAGATTTATTTACTTGAAAGGCAGAGAGAGAGGGAGGAGAGGAGAGGCACAGAGAGAGAGAGAGAGAGAGAGAGGTCTTCCATCTGCTGGTTCACTCCCCAAATGGCTGCAACGGCCGGAGCTGGGCCAATCCAAAGCCAGGAGCCAGGAGCTTCTTCCAGGTCTTTCGCACTTTCCCAGGCCACAGCAGAGAGCTGGATTAGAAGTGGAGCAGGTGGGACTCAAACTGGCACCCATAAGGGATGCCAGCACCACAGGTGGCAGGCAGCTTTACCTGCTACGCCACAGCATCGGCACCCAACACACTCCAAATATATATATTTTCTTACTTGAGAGAGAGAGAGAGAGAGAGAGAGAGAGAGAGATATTCTCAACTGGTTCATTCTCCTAATGACCAAAATAGCCCTGGCTATTTCAGGACAAAATCAGGAGCCAAGAACAACATCTGGATCTCCCACATGAGTAGCAGGTACCCAAGAAGTTGAGCCATCATCTGCTTCCTGCTAGTGTGCACACTAATAGCATTCTGAAATCTGAAGCCAAGCCAGGCCTGCTGCCCAGGTGCATTATTCCATGTCATTCACTATAAAAAATCTTACAGAGATAGCTGACATTCTCTTTTCCTCATTAAATTTTGGAGGTCTGCTGTGGAATTCTTCTGCACTTTCACAAATCTTACACTCTTCCACGGACAGACATCCAATACCTAATAATTGTTCTAATTGTGGAGTATAGGCAATAGCTTGAGTATGGGAGGCTGACAGTGTACATGAGAAGAGCCTAGCAGTGAAATTATGACTGTGATGATACTGTAGGGCTAATTTCCCAGCAAAACTCTAAATGGTATATCAACGACCCAGTAGAGAAAACTGTATTGAGTTTTATAGAAATTGCATTTAGTAGGCATAAGAAATGTGAACCAAAGCATAACGGTATTGACAGTTTCAAGGAACATATCAGATGTTGCTGGATAACTCCTCTGAAATTTTGGAAAGGCAATATGCACATGACCCTGAAATCTTCAAACTAGATACCCAGAAAATAAGCTACAGAAAGCAAAAGTGTTCTTTGGTCTCCGAAAACAACATCTAGTAGATATGGGAAAACTTTGTAAAAAAAGGAAAATTAAGAACAAGGCAAAACTGCTGGCAGCAGCATAACCAGGCAAACTATAAGGAAGACTGATATGTAAAATAAGGGTCCTGAGAAGGAAAACACCATGCAAATTAACTGAAACCAAATGCCTCTGATACAAACTGAGAAGCAGCAGTGAAGGTCATTAGGATGAAGAGGAAAATGCCTTTAATAATGAAAAACGATGAACATTTTCAGGAACACAGAATTCATTAACCTAACATGCTCAGCATTTGAAAATGTAAGAAATAAGTACTTAGGTCTACTAGTTGTTTTTTTTTTTTTTTCAAAACACACTTGTACTGTGCCCTGTGTTACCTATAGAATAAAGGATACAAAGAAAATAACCAAGTTGTGTTTTTAGTCTATTCACATGGGGTAATAAGGACTGCTCTGCAAATATAGCCTGCATGAACACTTTCCACTACGACAGCATTGACGACATCATGGATTTGAGGCATGTATCCATCAGGAAGTTTCACAGAATCCAAGGTGAAGAAGGTTGTATGATCTATCACCCCATTTCTTCCATGTACACTAGTAATGCGCACCTGTGGAGGTAAATGATGGAAATGACTATGTAAAGGTATCATACATGAAACTTGCTTGCACCTCCCTCTGGCTCTCAGCTGTACGTCACTCCATGCCTACCAAGGATTCTCAACTTACTTAGTAAATGGTGATCACCTGTTTGCTTTGTGAACACATGTATGCCTAGACTCCACCTCACCCCAAATAAATCTGAATCTCTGGGAAGGGTGCCTATGTCTCTGCTGACAACCCCTGTGATAAGCATTGCTCAGAGTCCATAAATTCTAAAAGTTAATGTTCAGAGAGTCAAGGAGACTATAATTTTCCCTACTTTCTCTGTCACATTCTGAGATCATTATTTCACCTGCACCATTGTTCAAACTGAGCTTTCTTGTATTCTCAGCTTCCACTACTCATCAAATCACACCTAAGCCTTACTGGTGAACACAAATACCACCACCCACTCCATCCATTTTTTTCCAAATAGTCTCTAAAGTGTGACTTGTTTTCTGCATTTGTTCTCAGAACACTGCATTACTTCTTTTTTTAACTTTTATTTAGTAAATATAAATTTCCAAAGTACAGCTTATGAATTACAATGGCTTCCTCCCCATAAATTCCCTCCCACCCACAACCCTCCCAGCTCCTGCTCCCTCTCCCATTCCATTCACATTAAGATTCATTTTCAATTATCTTTATATACAGAAGATCAATTTAGTGTATATTAACTAAAGGGCATACTTTAAATAAAACATTTTTGATAAGGACATAGGCTGGTCTTTGGAACAAAGATATTTTGTTTTAGGTTTCCCAATCCACCCAACAGAATCCTGAGCAGCAGAAATGATTAGTCCAAAAAATAAAAGGATAAACAGAAACAAACGACAAAGGCAGTATTGAAATCACTTACCTCACGCACGTGCCTCTGTCCTCGAGGCTTCACTGAGAGGACCTTTCTGCTCTGTGTGTCTGGCAGGCTAGAAAACACAACTTGCACGCAGTCCCGTGGATAAGGATCAAAATCTAAATCAGCGAAGGAGAGAAATGAAGTGGACATTGCTATTAGATTTGTTGATGTTGCATTTCACAAATGCTCTCAGGTTGTAATACCCAAAAGTAGTTCCTATTGCATTTGAGGCATATTCTTGATATTTTAAAGCAGTTAGTTATCCTATAAATTGTCCTGTCCAAAACGAAGTTTATCATGCTTTAGACAATGATTCTCCTGTACTGATGTAGCAAGGTCTGATGGGGGAAACCTGTCAACAACTGAACATTACACACAGGCAATCGTTTTGGGAGTAGCCCAGGATGTATTAAACAATCACAACTCTTCCACGAGAGGCAACCAAGTACAAAGGTAAAAGCAAAAGCCTAAAGCAGGATACCTGGGTTCAGCACTTACTCACTTTGCAACCATATGAAGGTGCTCATTCTCTGTGCTATGGTCAGCCTCTGAAAACTGAGAAGCCTAGCAGCACTTACCACAGAGTTTCAGGGGCAATTAGTCAATCACTATAAAACTCATACAATACTGTCAGGCACAAATCCACAGAAAGAAATGTTGATTGCTATCGGCAGTAGCATTAGCAGGAGGACACAGTGCAGTACAAAATTTGATATTAACTTCTCAGGTGTTTTGGACAAGGGATGGATTCTATATTTTTATACTGTATAGTTATAAATGAATATTTACAGGTGGTTTACAATAAGGCAAGAGTGAGTCTCAAGATACCAGGTACTAGGGAATATTTAGAGACAACATAATTTTCAAACATTGCTACTGGAAGAGTGAATTGACACAACCATGTCAGGTAGCTAGCGATATCTACTAAATCTCAATACTTCTGTACACTATGACCCAGTATTTCTTAGTACTTTCATAGTCCTTTCCTTGTCCTTCCTTAGTTCCATGACAGTTAATTTTAGAAGAATCCACATCATGCACTGAATCCCTGGCCTGTTGCACTCTCTTTTATTTTTCCTATATTTATTCCTTTTGTGGGGCTTTATATGATAAGCTGAAAACTCCAAAATGTATGCACTTGCAGCTCCAGTTAACCTCAGATTCATGGATCCAAATCCTTAATCAAATTATTAAATCCAAAGCTGAACTTCTGCTATTCTTCTCATGTACCCCTGTTTGCTCCTCAGTCTTTCCAAATCTGAAAAACTGGAAATTCTTCCCTTACCACTGCTCAGATAACTTTAATCCTCAACTCTTATTTATGTCATTCCAAATATTCAATGCATCAGCAAAGACATCCATCTAACTTACCTTTAAAGTACGTCCAGAACCAAACCTATCTGTGGGGAGCAATCCGGACTAGACTAAGTTACTGGAATTAAGACTTATTCTATGCATCTGCTCTCCCACAATATGGCGCTGGGAGAGAAGTAAACAGCTTCCGCACAGCTGCCTCCAGTTCAACCAATTAACTGTAGGACTTGCTCCTGATTGGAGAGCAGCGTACTCGGCGTGTGGGCAGCCGAGTTGGGATTGGCAGAGAAGGACTATAAAGGAGGAGAGAAACGGCATGCACCGGGTAACATCTATGGGGAACATCTAGCTGAAGGAACACCCGTGCAGCCCCCGAGAAAGCCGGCCGGCGGTGTGCCGCTCCCCTGCGGAAGTGGGGAATGCGGCCAGGGGGAACTGCCCTTCCACGGAGGTGGAAGGGATAGTAGCCAACCCGGGAAGAACCAGCAGCAAACCCGGGGAGGGCCGAGCAGACGAAAGAACAGCGCAGGGTCTAGTGTCGTTCCCCCACGAAGACGGGGAGCGACACCTATCCTTAACAGCCAGCCTCCACTTCTACATCACCTTACCCAAATGCCAATAATCACTCACCAGGTCTGTTGTGTTAGACTCTTATCTTTCTGTATCCATAGAGCCTATTCACAAAGCCACAGCTAACTTTAACATCTTAAAAAAATTCACCTTGGCCGGCGCCGCAGCTCACTAGGCTAATCCTCCGCCTTGCGGCGCCGGCACACCGGGTTCTAGTCCCCGTCGGGCGCTGGATTCTGTCCCGGTTGCCCCTCTTACAGGCCAGCTCTCTGCTGTGGCCAGGGAGTGCAGTGGAGGATGGGCCAAGTGCTTGGGCCCTGCACCCCATGGGAGACCAGGATAAGTACCTGGTTCTTGCCACCAGATCAGCGCGGTGCGCCGGTCGCAGCGGCCATTGGAGGGTGAACCAACGGCAAAGGAAGATCTTTCTCTCTGTCTCTCTCTCACTGTCCACTCTGCCTGTCAAAAAAAAAATTCACCTCATATCTTGGTGTTAAATTAACGTTGACCTAACCAATCTCTGTATTTGTGTGATAAAGCATGTCCCAAATTCCCCTCTATACACAGTAAATTGCAAACCCCTCAAATGTGCAAGGAAGTTGTAACTTACCAAAGAGTATACTCTAGTAGGCAAGCAACTGAAACTCAGACAATGCCATGATGAAGGCTGCCAATATACACCCACATAAAGCAAAACCACAACTGTTTTTAATCAGGTAATCTCTCTACATCCCGTCTGTTATTTCCTGGTTATAAATACAGCTCATCCCACAGCAGGTAAGGGCATTTTGGACCATCTTTCAATGGGAATGCTGCCATACTTGGACGTTGTCCCTGTTTGAATAACCTTTAATAAGTTTAGTCTCTCAGGTTTTTTTTCCAACAAAAATTTTCTTTAAGATGCCCCCAAATTTAAAGCATTACAGTGACTTTTAAACCTTTTCAGTAAGGTCTTCCCTGGACAATATATCTGTAATTTTAACTCATTTGATATTAGATTTATATTTTTTCTTAAACTATGAATCAGAATTCTCATCCCTGGTGCTAATCATATTATCCATGGCAATCAAAGCTACCGATCTACAAAGAGACTTGCACAAAATTTCCTTTGCAATTTAATCTGTACTAGACAAAAGCTTCTAGCAGCTAACACGACCTTCAACAGGAGCATGGCAAAAACCATGATGTATTTGATATACTGGCATACTATACATACAACTACATAGATGTGTTCAAACACATTCTTTTTAGTGTAAAAAGTCTTACACAAAATATTATGTATGCTTGATTACATTATACAATATTCTCAAACAGTCAAATTAAATGTGTAGTGTGAACAAAACAGGACAGTATTTGGGAACAGGGACAGGTATTTACTGGGTGAAGGCATGAAAGTCATGATTAGGTGCAGCTGTGAATATCCAAAGAAATCTGTAACATTTCTAAACAAATATTTTATCTGAGTTGCTGGTACACATGCTGGAGTATTCAGGAGGCACTGAATAAACATTTCTCTATACTTTCAAATATATGGAAAAAACAAAAGAGTAGTAGGTCGATAGAATAATGTATCCATGGATGGCTATGTAATAGAACAAGTATAAGGAAATGTGAAAGGCAGAATTCAGGTGGTGGCTATGTGTTTGAACACTGTAAAATTATTTCAAATTTGCCCTATATTTGAAAAACTAGTTGAACATTATGGTTAGTAGGTGCATTAAGCCCGTGATTTTAAAATAAACAGAAAGAATGTTATTGCAACAATTAAAGAAAAAAAAGAGGGAAAATAATGGGGGAGGTGAGGGATGGAAGTATGGCTGTCTTCCTAGAGTTGTATCTATGAAATACATGAAATCAAAAACACCCTCATCAAATAAGTATATTCCAAATTTGACTCTGGAATTGAAACGTTTAACACATTTAATTAACAAGATTTTTAAAAAACCTAATCTCATCTAATTTTCAACTTTAAAAAATATGAACTGTACCTGTAGAAACAATATCCAAAGAGAAGTAACATGTATGATTACTGCAGTTAGCACCACCCATTCTAGAGCTAAGACAGCGCAATGAAACGCTCCTGTAGTACTCTCCTGGCCCATCATCGTGGGAGCTACGGCTGTGATCACCCGCCTGGAAAGCAAAGAAACAGTTACTTCACACACAGCCAAAGTTTAAAAGAAGCATATGCTGAAGTCATTGTTCAAGAAATACTTGAGGTAAGCATAACATACTTTGGTGTGTATATTTCAACTGACAAACACTTCACAGATATGAGTTCATAAAATAATGTCTGATTCATCATCTTTTTATTTCATTTATTATAGCAGTTCAGCAAGACTGTGCAGGGAGAAAAGAGTTCCCATAGACTTTCTTGCACCTCTAGTTTCCCCTATTATTAGCATCTTGCATTGGCACGGTACACTAATTACAACTGATGGTCCAATGACAGTTCATGATAAGGTCCATAGTTTATATTAGGTTCACTCTTTGTTTTGTACAAACACCTTTAAAATATGATGAAGAATGTTATTTGCTTAACTCAGCACTTTGTCATCCATGAGGGCTTTGAACTTACAATATTTGTTCTTTCCAATTTTTCCCATTCTAATGCATGATCATCGAAGCATAATCACTTAAAAATAGAAACAAATCTCTCTTGATCTTATTTCCCTTTCAGAATCAGTTCTTTCCTCCTCCTCACACCAAAAGATATTGAGCAAGTTGTCCATAAAACTAGGCAAAGCCTGGAAATCACCTTTATGTTCTCCACTAAGTGTATGCTGCTGCCTGAGCAAGCATAGTTCTACTTCCATGGTGGATAGATAGATGTGAAAGTCAGAGTATACTTGGAGACACTTACAGGAAGAGAATACAAAGGAAACAGGAACTCTGCCAAGTTGCCGGCCTGCAAAAGGGAAGGGGGAGCCAACATAAAAGACAGAGGGAGCCAAAATAAAATGCAGTCTTTAGAGGTGGGACTTATATTTTGTGAGTGAAGATTTAGCCATACTTAAATGCTGTTTTATCTTGTTGCTTAACAGAGGAAGAGTTTAAAATGACAACAAGAGAAGAGGCACTCAATAGCACAGAGGAGGGTGTGGACAAATAAAAGGAGAGGACATCGAAAACACTGGTACAGAGAATTGACCATAAGAGAAGGGACACTCTTTCCATTCTAACAGGACAGAAGGAGGCTGGGATAAGTAAAGATGCAGGAACACTTATAGATTTTGTCTTTGTAACAAACATCAAAATCAGAGACTTCACAAAATCTGAGCTCTGGGTAAAATGAACATAATTGCAAGGAAAAGTTTAATAAGTCACCCAACCCTATCCCTCAAGCAGTGGCTTGAGAGATGACTACTTTATGATCTTCATGGAATATTTAATTCTGACGAGGAATTTTGTAAAAAGTGAAGGAAAGCTCTTATTTTTATTTTTTAATTTATCTGCATACATTTCATAAATGTAACTTTAGGAACATAGTAATTATTCTGACCTTATCAGCCCTCACACCCACACTTCCCACCCTTCCTCCCCCTCCTTCTCCTATTCTCAGTCCTGTTTTTCACTAAGATCTATTTTCATCTAAGCTTATACATAGAAGATTAATTCTATTCTAGGTAAAGAGTTCAGCTCTTTGCATGAGGAAGACAAAAAAAAAGAAAGAAGAAAGAGAGAGAGAGAGAGGGAGAGAGAGAGAGAAACTAAAAAGAGAAAAACATAAAAAAAAGAACAAAAGCTGTTCCTCAACAGTCCAGACAAGGGCTGTTCAAAGTCACTGCATCTTAATGGTAACTTTACTTTTTTTTATTTTTTAGAAAATTATCTTTAAAGAGGGACCCAAGAATGATACATCTTTTGCAAGCACTTAGACATAACTGTAATTTATATGACAAAAGAATATTCTCTACTTAATACACTAAAATGAAGTAATTCTTTGATTACAAATTTTACTATTAAGTCCCATAATACAACTCTTTGAGGACAGAGGTCCTGCATGGCAAGTTAGTGCACAGTGACTCGTGTTGTTTATTTAACAATTAACAGTCTTATGCATGATGTCAGTAATCACCCGAGGCTCTCATTTTTCTATGAATCCAGTGTAACAGAGATCCCAAAAGCCAATAAAAATAGCATAAGGATAGATAACTAAAAATCAACTTAAGTTATGGAAATGAGGAAATCTAACTAAAAAATAAGCAAGCAAATTTAGCAGGACATTACAAGAATTATTAATTATAACCAAATGTGAATAATTCCACAAAACCAAATGGGCCTAATTCTAAAAAAATGAGATGTACTTTCTCCATATTAATATCAGTAAATATCAATTAAAAATCCCAACCTGGGTTGAATATTCATTTTCACTATATTTTCTAGATATTATGATTATCCTTTAAGATACTGAATTACACAATCTCTTATTAAACATCAGAGAAATTGTATTTATTGATTTTGTGGTAATCTATAGAAGAGGAATGGAGGTACGTGTACTTGTTTAATCCATGCAATACTGATTAAACAAAGAACAAAGAACTGCCATTTAGGAAAATTCCACATCTTTCATTATGAAAAGGAAGTAAATACGAACCAATATTGCCAAATTAAAAGTAGTATAGGGGCCGGCGCTGTGGCATAGCAGGTAAAGTCGCCACCTGCACTGCCAGCATCCCATGTGGGCGTTGGTTTGAGTCCCGGCTGCTGCACTTCTGATCCAGCTCTCTGCTATGGCCTGGGAAAGCAATGGAAGACATCCCATATCCTTGGGCCCCTGTAGTAGCGTGGGAAACCCAGGGAAGTCTCCTGGCTCCTGGCTTCAGATCAGCACAGTTCTGGCCTTTGTTGCCAATTGGGGAGTGAACCAGCAGATGGAAGACCTCTCTCTCTCTCTCTTCTTTTCCTTCTCTATGTAACTCTGACTTTCAAATAAATAAATAAATCTTTTAAAAATTTATTTATTTATTTTTATTTTTTTGACAGGCAGAGTGGACAGTGAGAGAGAGAGACAGAGAGAAAGGTCTTCCTTTTCTGTTGATTCACCCCACCAATGGCTGCTGGGGCCAGTGCACTGCAGCCGGCACACCACGCTGATCCGAAGCCAGGAGCCAGGTGCTTCTCCTGGTCTCCCATGAGGGTGCAGGGCCCAAGGACGTGGGCCATCCTCCACTGCACTCCGGGCCTGGAATGGAGAGCTGGACTGGAAGAGGAGCAACCGGGACTAGAACCCAGTGTGCCAATGCTGCAGGCGGAGGATTAGCTTATTGAGCCACGGCGCTGGCCCAAATAAATCTTTTTAAAAATAGTATAAGAACGTTATAAGTTATTATGCAAAATTTCCAAATGCTCCCAATAACAGCACTGTTAATTCTTAAAGTATAAGCCATAAAAGAGTCCCATGTCTGAAGAGTAATAATTGTTCAGGAGGGCATAAAGGATTATTTTATTTTTTATTTTATATTCTTCTAGACTTTGAATTATTTACCTATGGCTTTATGTGTAAATAAAACTGATCACATTTACTGAAAGCTGATATCAAGCATTCAATTGATAGTTGCTATTTTAATAATAATATTAAAGTATATCTAAATCATTTTTAAAAGATTCAACATGATCTATCACATTATGTAACATGAACTAATACTGTAGTATGCAGTAAGATTTAACTAATTTGAAAATAAAACATATAATGATTTTAAGTTATCCTTAAAAAGTTTATCTTAAAAATCTAAATAAGTAATTAAAATAAAATGTATAATGATAGCAGAACACAAATATTAACAGTCTGAGAAATATACTTGGGAAACTTAAAAAAAACCTCGTCGGAGAAATGCACAAAACAATTCAAAACCATACAAGATGAAAAATGTGCCTGTTGGAAAAAAAGACAATTAACCTGATGTTATTTCTCCCCAAATTAAATGTACAAAATCAAAGCCATTCCCCCAAAAAGTCAAGGGGTATTGTTCGTGTTGGGAGTGGAAGAACCAAATACAAGGATTTTTGTTTGTTTTTAATGATACAGAAAAGCCAAGAATACAAAGGGCCAAGAAAGGTCCAAATACATTTGATAGGGAAACAAAGATCCGAAACACTGAAAGAAATATGCTCTAATGCTTCAGTGATTCAAACATTTAATTGTATCTTTCAGGACAAGATGACACAATCCAAGGAGTATGATAGGATGTCCCCACAGTTTCAAATTCTTGTGAGATTGTAGTGACGATACAAGGGAAATTTCAACTTAATACAGGACAAATGTAGTGCCGCATTAAAAGTATGGGGATAGCAATACAAAAATTAGCAAAACAAAATCTGTAATCTTTTCTCAGTGGCTACACCTAAATCCATTACAGAAAGGCTGAGTATTTAGATGTGAACAAATAAATAATTTTGAGAGTAAAACAAAAATAATAATTCTGTGAATTATGCAGTGCAATGGGTATCTGTAAAGACACTTATTGAGCTTAAAAGTCATATGGATAAGACAGACACATTTATAGTATTTAAAAAATAAACTCCATGAAACAAAATTGAAATATGATCTTGGATAAATATTTGCAAAAGGGTCATGCCATCAATTTCCTATTAAACTTCCAATTTTCCCATATTAAAACACCTCTAATTTCCCCAATAAATAAATAACTCTGGAAAGGAAAGCTATTCCATACTGACAGTTTGAAATGTATGATTATGAGACTTTTTATTTCCTAGATTACTAATGAGTTCCAAGATTGACAATATTTCCATTCTTGGCAATACTGGCAACCAGGCAGTCTCACAGTCTGCTACTGACAGTGTAAATCAGTACAATATATTTGAATCATCATTTAATTATACCCATTAAAGTGACAAATACATTAACATAAGTGATACTCCAGAACTGAAGATTCCCTAGATATCACTGATTTATACTTATTTTACTTTTCTTTATCAACTGTGTTTCTTTTTTACAGTTGATTTTTTGAAGATTTATTTTATTTGAAAGACAGAGCTACAGGAGTTACAGAGAGAGGTAGAGATGGGGAGAGAGAGAGGTTTTTCATCTGCTGGTTCACTCCTCAAATGGTTACAACAACCGGAGCTGAGCAGATACGAAGCCAGGAGCCAGGAGCTTCCTCTGGGTATCCCACACAAGTGCAAGGGCCCAAGCACGTGGACCATCCTCTGGTGTGTTACCAGGCACATCAACAGGGAGCTGGATCAGAAGTGGAACAGCCAGGACTCAAACCAGCATCCATATGGGATGCTGCCGCTGAAAGAGAAGGGATTTAACCCACTGCACCACAGTACTGGCCCTGATTTATACTTATTTTAAAGCTTATAAATAAAATAAATCTTTAAAAAGGGGATGGGGGCGGAGCTGTGGTGCAGTGGGTTAAAGCCCTCGCCTGAAGCACCGGCATCCCATATGGGTGCCGGTTCTAGTCCTAGCTGCTCCTCTTCTGATCCAGCTCTCTGCTGTGGCATGGGGAAGCAGTAGAAGATGGCTCAAGTCCTTGGTCCCCTGCACCCGCATAGGAGACCCGGAAGAAGCTCCTGGCTCCTAGCTTTGGATTGGCGCAGCTCCGGCCCGTTGTGGCCATCTGTGGAGTGAACCAGCAGATGGAAGACCTCTCTCTGTCTCTACCTCTCTCTGTAACTCTTTCAAATAAATAAAATAGATCTTTATAAAAACTGAAGAATCTTATGAAGGATTAATTATATTTCAAAAAAGATTTTAAAAAATAATTATTAATATGTGGTGGCCAGCGTTGTAGCATAGCAGGTAAAACACTGACGCCAGCATCCCATAAAGGTGACAATTTGTGTCCTCATTGCTCCACATCAAATGCTTCTCCCTGCTAATCCCCTTGGGAAAGCACCGAAGATGGAAAAAGTGTTTGGGGCCCTTCACTCACATCGAAGACCCAAATAAATCTCCTGGCTCCTGGGTTTGTCCTAGCCCAGTCCTGGCTGTTGCAGCCATCTGGGGAGTGAACCAGCAAATCAAAGATATCTCTTGCTCTCTCCCCCTCCCTCTCTTACTCTTATTTTTCAAATAAATAAATGCATCTGTAAAAAAGTTAATAGCATGCACATTTGTTCACCTTGCAACTAACTGTACTTCAGCAAGTTCAGAGATCTCAGGATAGTACAGACTTGAATAATAGTAATTGTTAATCAAAATTTTAAATGCTGATATATAGATGTATACTTTAGAACAAAGAAACTGCTACAAAGATAGAAAAAATATCGTAAACAAAATGATTTATTAGTCTTCCAATTCCATCTACAAATATTATACCAGGGTACCCCAGAGAGGCTGGAAATAGTTATTCTGAGTGCATCCCCGGGAATAAAGATGATCCCCAAACACACATCATTCTTACACTGATGGCTTAAAATACCTGAGCTGTTCCATCTCCTTCCACAACAGGAGTAATGTTCTGCCTAGTGCTCAGAGGTACACGGCCAGACACATCAGTAACAAGGAAGATAGATGCAGCAGAGAGGCCACGATCAGCACAGGCACTTGCCACTGCACCCTGCAGAGCTGTCAGATCAGTGTTACCTATGAGACAAGCAAACAAAAGCTTTCATGAATTACTCTCAAAGCAAACACACATTACACATAAGCCCCATAGAGGAAACTGTGGGAGGCAATTATCTAAAACTAGAAATACAGTGGGTTGGAGTTGAGATGCAGATGACAGTACCAGTAGAACACAGTGATTAGTGTACAGGATGCTGGAGGCAGAGTGCTTAGGTGGAAATACCAGTTCCACCATTTCTCTGTAGAGCACAGTAGCTCAATACTCAAGCCAGTGTATTTGCAGGGTTAAGAGCACAGACTCTAGAGCCAGACTGTGTGGAACTGAATCACAGCTGCCATGTGTGCAACAGGGGGAACACTAGTTAATCTCTCTAAACATGTTTTCATTTGTAAAACCAGGATATTAACAACGTTTACCTTTGTGGACTATTATAAATATTAATCATCACACATGTAAACTGCTTAGAATAATAAATGTCTCCCACAGATTAGTATGTTATTTGTATTTACTTCTAGAGAGTTTTTAAGCATTCATTATTTCTGTGTAGTTTCATCATCCTCAACAGCAGCAGTAGTATGTGGAAATCCTGAAATATCTCACCATATAAAATACATAGAGATATCTGGAATTAAGTTACACTCAAATGTGAATCAGACTCATCTGGATTTATTTTGGTGCCTGAACCAACAGAGGTAAATAAGCCTCAGTTTGGGATTTGAAGCCAGAATTTTCAAAGCTTCAACTGTGAACCACATTAACTTAAGTATTTCCAAAAAGACAGGCATATGTGCTTGTGATGCAGCACATGATGACTCCGTACTTGCCTCCCTGCCAAGCACCCCACCTGAGAGATCTAGATGGAGTTCCTCACTCCTGTCCTTGGCCTGGACTTGCCCCTGCTGTGTTGGCCATTTGAGAAGTGAACCAATAGATGGATGTTCGGTTTGTCCCTTTATCTCTCTTACTATACTTTTCAAATACACACACACACACACACACACACACAAGAGCTAATCGTTAAAAATAATAATCTTGCTTTTTTCCACGAAAGCAAGATCCTTGATATGGATATCAAAAGAGGAATCTGTTACACAGTCACACAGCTTCTATGTAAGGTAATTTTCACAATTTTTGTAGAGTATCAGGGCATGTCTCTGCCTACGCCATCGCTGCGGAAAGCTCCTGGCAGTAACTAGATACTTACCGCAGACAACGGCACTAACGCCAATTTGCAACGCTTCCATTCCCCCACCTCCAACACAAGATGGTGCCTGCCATTGCTCTCAGAGTTCCTTAAAGCCCCTGAGAACCTCACACAAGCGGTGGGGCACAGCCCTATGGGTAGGTCCCTTGTGGGGAGGCAACAGGATAGGTACCTTCTAGAAGTCTCCATGGCGGCGCAATCTCTGCCTCCTGGTCTTCGCTCTCCTCCAAGAAGACAAGATTCATGGACACAAGCCGGAACATGGTTCTTCTGTTACACGGCCTAGGCACCGCGTCACAGTAAGAAAGAGACCTATTTCCGTCGGGATTTCTGCCTCCTAGCGTCTGCAGTCACAGTACCTACTCGCGGCCACACCTCTTTCTCCTCTGCTTGGCCCAACCTCTAGTCAAGACCCCTTTACCGGAAGTGGGAACAGTGTTCGAGAGCTTTCTTGGGTCTTGTGCCCACCCACCAGCCAGTGAGGGCGAAATGGGCTCTGAGGAAGCCAATACCAGGGCGTTGCTGGGCAGGACTTCCTGGGCCCTCCCACCGCAGGCTAGAGGGGAAGAGGAAATGGTACGCCAACAGGAAGTCAATTCCACTTGGATCCCTGTTCAAGTTGTAGGGTATAGCATGTCGCCCGTGGGATTCTGCAGGGAAGTAATTGGAAGGGGAAGTAACAGCCAGCCGAGAATGGAGGTGGGCTTCTGTTACAAGAATTTGGAGTTGGTTCTTTGTCTCACGGAGATGAATAATTATGACGGGGACAATGAGGGGGAGCAAAATGTAAAGCTTTTTTGAAAGATACATTGTATAGAAAATTGCAGAGAATTGAGAAGCAAGACTCCTTTCACCTAGGAGGAGCACCCAAAAAGAGGAGTCTATTTTACTTAATTTTATGCTTGGCATGAGGCAGAAGTCAACTTTGTTATTAGGCCTGTGGATATTCAGGGGTCCCAGCACCATTTCTTTGAAAACACTATGCTTTTGTTCATGTAAATCAGTTGACCCAAGAAGAGTTTACAGGTGTACAGGTTTATCCTTTTGCTAGTACCAAATGGTCTTGTTTATATTCTTTGTATTAAATGTTAAGTTACAAAATGTGAGTAATTAAAGTTTGCTCTGTGTTATGATTCTATGCTGGGTGTTTAGTATTTCCTCACGAATTTTAGGACCAGCACATCGATTTCTAAGAAAGTAAGTCTGAGATTTTAATGGAACTTATGTCGAATCTAATGTTCTATTTGGGGAAGACAGTCATTTTAATTCTATATACAGGAGATACATTTTCATTCATTTAGGTTATTGTTAATTTCTTGTTTAAAAAGGATTTATTTTATTTATTTGAAAGACAATGTTACATAAAGAGGTACAGACAGGTCTTCCATCAGCTGGTTCATCCACCAAATGGGTGCAACAGCTGGAGCTGGGCTTATCCAAAGCCAGGAGCCAGGAGCTTCTTCTGGGTCTCCCATTCGGGCGCAGGGGCCCAAGGACTTGGGCCATCTTTTGCTTTCCTAGGCCATTAACAGGGAGCTAGATCAGAAGTGCAGCAGCTGGGACTTGAACTGGCACCCTTTTGGGATGCCAGCGCTGCAGGCAGGGGCTTTAACCCACTATGCCACAGCACCGGCCCCATTGTCTTTAATTTCTGCCACCTGTTTTAGTTATCAGATTATATGTTCTTCTTTTTTATTAAATTATTCATATTGTATCTGATTAATGTTATTAGAAATTGAATTGTTCTCTTGATTTCCCTTTCATATTGTTCATTTCTGATGTATAGTCATACAATTGAATTTTATTTGTTGATCTAAAAGCCTGATACCTTGTTACACTCACGTATTAGTTCCAACATTTTAACATATTCCTTATTATTTTCTATATACAAGATGAGGTCATGTGAAAATATTGTCTTAATTTATCCTTCTCAATGCAGATACCTTTTGTTTTCTTTCCTTGCCTAAATGCACTGGCCAGAACCTCTGCAACGGTGATGAACAGGTGTGGCAAAATCAAATACTTTGTCTTGTTCCTGATCTTAAGGGCTATACATTTTTTCATGTTAGCTCTTTGTGTTCTTCAGTACCATCTATCACATTGGGAAAGTTCTAATCTCAGGATCATGTCATGAAAGGGAGTTGGTTTAAGTCATTTTTTTCTATTTGATTATCATGGTTTTTTTGGAATTTATATGAATAATAGCTGTCAAGTGAGGATTGTTTGGTTTATTGTAAAATATTTAACCAATCTGTGTTCTTAGGATAAATTCCACTGAGTTTTTATGAGCTGAATCGTGTTTCACCAAAACTCCTATGTTGAAGCCCTAACACCCGACTTCTGATAATGTGACCGCATTTTGGAGATTTATCTTTAAGTCTTTAAGGAGGTAATTTTTGGGATTTGTAAGAAATCATGCAAATTGTAAAATTAGGGGGTGGGGCTTTACAACAACCTCGGATACTTGCATCCCATACTGGGGAGTTTGAATCCAATTTCTAGTTAATCTTCTAAATACAGTTCTTGATAATGCACACCCTGGAAGGCAGTGGTGTAGGTTCAAACGAATGGGTTCTTTCTACCCACATGGGAGACCTCTGTTGAGTTTCCAGCTCCAAGCTTCAACTCAGCACTAGCACAGCCAGTGTGGACTTGTGAACCAGGGTGATGGAATACCTCCTCTCCCTTAATGTGGTAATACCCTAGCACACTGTTCTGCAATAAAAAGAATGAGCATTGTTTCTCAGAAGAGCATGGACGAATCTCCCCAGGAGAGTTCCATGTTGCAAAAGGGAAAATCCTGGGGCCAGCGCTATGGCATAGTGGGTAAAGCTTCCGCCTGCAGTGCCAGCATCCCATATGGGCGCCGGTTTGAGTCTTGGCTGCTCCACTTCCAATCCAGCTCTCTGTTGTGGCCTGGGGAAGCAGTAGAAGATGGCCTAAGTGTTTGGGCTCCTGCACCCACGTGGGAGACCTAGAAGTAGCTCCTGGCTCCTGGCTTCAGATCGGTGTAGCTCTGGCCATTGTGGCCAATTGGGGAATGAACCAGTGGATGGAAAACCTCTCTCTCCTTCTCTCTCTGCCTCTCCTCTCTCTGTGTAACTGACTTTCAAATAAATTAAATAAATCTTTAAAAAAGGGAAAATCCCCAAACAATGCATACATCATATAAAACATGATTAATATGACAATTTTATGGAAGTTGAGGCCAAGTGAGCAGTTATCTGGGGCAAGGGATGCGAGCACAGGTAGCAGAGGTAGATAGGATGGAGTTGGGTGAAGTTGGAAATCATCATTGGATGCAGTGCTCACTTTGATGAATTGCTTTGAAACTACACTGTGTCATGGTCAACATCTGCATGTGATGTTTTACAATAGTTTTCAAGATGTTGCCAACAGGGGAAACTAGACAAAGGGAAAAGTAACAACTGTGTTTTCACCATGGGTCATTCTACACTGATGTCATATTTACAAGTTTGAACTGTAAAAGGATTCTGGAAAGAGATCCTCCTGCCCCAGATCAATGCAGTCCAGCATTTCTCAAAGCTTCCAACCTCATTAAAGGAACTCGATCTAGAAATTGTGTTCTTTTATCAGGTGTTCCCAGTAGTGGAGGTGTCAACCAGGTCATTTTAAAGCCAATTTCCTCCCAAGTGCCCAGCTGTCTGAACCCTGCCCAACTTCATGCAGTCTTCAGGTCTTTTCAGTAGCTGAAGCCCAGTAGCTAATGCAGCCAGCCGGGGTTGAGGACCTCTGTCAATACCCTCCAGCCCCAACTGGGAGCACAGAATATATCATGATTTTTCCTGAAGAAAAGGCTCTTCTAAGAGCACTTGCTCCCAGAACATGGTTTATAATCAGGTAACCAATGTGCCACATATTCCAACACTACAAGGCCAGAGAAGAGGATATTAGTATAAGCATCTGTGGGCAAAGCTTCAGGAGAAAATAATGGCATACCATTTTGTGAACAACAGCAGAAAGAGATGACTTAAAAGTGAGCTATTTTTGATGCCCAGTTCATGAAAGACAATGTGTGTAGCACATTCTGTGGGGAAAAAGGCTGTTCTAGAGCACACCTACCCCATGAGTCCACTGATGTCTTTAACCTGTTCCCTCCCGACTTGCCAAATCTTATGGTCCTTATCACCAGCTTAGCTAACCTGGTGCCCTGAGGGCAGTGACCACAAACTTGTGTACAAACTGGATTTCCATATGCACAATTACCTGGGATCCAGCTCTGCAGACATGACAGACTACTGAACAAAATGTAACAGTTGACTAAGTGTAAGCTATGTGACTACCAGCAATGGGATTACAGTGTACATGCTGCTCTCTGCAGAGTACTGCAATGTACTCCGGAAGGGCATTTTAACTAAAGAATGTGGCCCACACAGCTGTACTAAGTTGCCAAAAATCACATACAGCAAGTAAGCAACACACCCAGGATTTGGATGCCTTTCATGCAACTGCAGAGCTGACACTAATTGTTGGAATGACACTGCATACCTGCGGACACCAAGCACAATTCTGCACTGTTCACCCTTCACTGAGGAAATCTACTGTCTCTGTGACCCAGTGGACACAGATAGGCTAACATTTGTCCTTTGAGGAAATTGTAGCTAGGCTCCTCTGAGCCATCTTCCTGATGGGTCTCAACGTTGGACTATAAATTGACAGACTTGCTACACAAATTGTTTAGGCCACTGTCTTTTTAGATTATTTGTTTATTTGAACATCAGAGGCATGGAAACAGGGAGAGACAGAGGGAGAACAAGGTTTTTCACCCACTTATTCATGCTTCAACTGGCCCTAACAGCCAGGGGGGAGCCAGGTTGAAACTAGGAGCCAGGAGCTTCTTCTAGGTCTCTGACATCGTTGGCAGGGGCCCAAACACTGGGGCCATCCTCCGCTGCTTTTTCAGGCAACTAGCAGGACACAGATCAGCATCCAGGACATGAACCAGCATCCAAATAGGTTAATGGCATCCCAGGTGGTAGCTTTACCTGATAGGGCACAATGCCATCCCAGGGCCACTGTTTCTAAGAGAACAAATTCACATGCCTAGGATTACCATAAACCCTCAGCTTGTGTCCACTTGAGAAATCTAAAAGCTGCTAAAGACTGCACCGTTTGTTCCAGCCCACACCAGAGGGCAGGTCCTGACCTGCCTTCTTTAGTGCATTGACTAAAAGAGCTCCCTGCCCCAAGGCCTCCATGTCCCTTGGAGAGCATAAGCCGCCCCACAACTCAGGGGCATCTTTCACCAGGACCTGGAAGCCAGTCCCTGCAGATGCAGCCATCAGGAAGCAGGGGCCTCTCCTCAGTCTTCTGGGGAGTCCAGAATCCTGACTCTGTAACTGCCCACCAGCAGATACTGCCCCTCCAACATGCACTGAGCACCTTGGGGACTTTCTCCCTTCTTTGCCCATACTGAGCCCTCACTCTCTGTCTTGACCTTTAATATCACAAACCCTCTAGAAATGCAGTTCACTGCACATTGGGCTAGGTCCCAGTGGCACCAACATGTGGGGTTCTCCTCCCTGACTGCTGCTCAAGGCCTGTACCCTCAAACACTAGCTTATGATGTTAAAGCACCTTTAGATGTCTAGGGATCTGGCTTCTGGTCATTGCCTAGGGTCCTACAAGCAGCCGAGAC